CCTCCGCCCCCCCAGCCGGCTCCTTTCCAGCCCTCCGCTCAGCCTTAGCGCCCCCGGCCAGCGATCCTGCCTTCAGAGTTGGACTCATCCCCTGGAGCAGTTTACTACAAGCCAAAGGCTTACGACGGTCAATTCGGAGTTGACTGACTTGCACTGAAGTTCTCGAGGCTTCACTGTTTCATTGTGTTGTACAAGTTTGTCTAAGGACCTCCTCCAGCGTTAGCTCGTTGCCTGCATTAAAGGCGCTTCCAGGGAAGAACGCAGATGATGGCTCGTGGGGATCGCCCGCCCCGGGGGGTCCTTTCCGTGTACGAAGTGTCCTCCCTTTGTTTCTCTAAAGTGCAGCCGTTGGTGTGGGATCCGCGACATCAGTTTAAAGCAAGCCAACCAAAATCCCTCAGTGTTGACATTGGATCATAGATGTATGCCCCTCCCGTGGCTGGAACATCGGCTCCGTCGCTTGGTATTATGGCGTTTCGTTTTGCTGGGCTCCCCGTCCGGCGTTTTCCTTACCCCCCCGGCCCCCCCCCCCAGCTTCCTCCTTTCTAAAATAAAAAGGGGTAGTTCTCTGTAGTTCTTCACAACGTCTTGCATTATAAAACTAAGGCATGGGCTGTATATTACAAGCTCCCAGATATGACAGAGTGTTTCCAGCATATTCAGCAAATCAGCTCCACATTTCAGGACAGCTTTTAGTGAGAAAGCAAAAGCCCAACCTCACTTCTCTAATTGTGTCCCTTAATTTCCAGACCCCAAGTAAAGCATACATGAGCAATTGGCCCCTTTTGTCCAGTGTGTTGGTACTGTCTGGAGCGTCAGAGCCTGTAGGACGTATGATTCCCTGGTCCGACCTTCCCTCCCTCCTTCCTCCCTTCCCATCCCGCTGCTTCATTACGATGCTTGGGGCCGTCTACAGCCTGTTCTCTGACTTTCTGCTGTAGGAAAGCAGTTTGTATGAAAAGCAAAAAAGCCTGGTTTCCCCCTTGTTTAAAATATTTTAATGGTGTGGCCCCTCCTCTCTGAAAGTTTAAACCATGACGTTAGGCTTTGGGAAGAAAAATCAGATGGGAGGTGCATATTCATAGCAGCATATGATAAACAGCCAAAACTGTTGTATTGCTTGGTAGAAAAGGATCAAGAGAAAGTTAGGTGACAATAGCAAATGCGTATTTAGCAGCATAAGCCGGTACAATGTATAAAGAAATGTATTCTGGAATACATTCTTTCAATTCATTTAGCACAAATAAATGGTTTGTTTCACTTTGCAGTGGAACGAAGTGTCTTTTTTCCCCCTCGAAATGTCATTCTGCCTTCATAGGAGCCTTTTCTTGGGGTTCCTACTTGCTAACCTTTACAAGGTAGTAACACTACTTTTAAAAGTTAAGTCCTCCTACTCGGGTGTGGTGCTTGAGACAGTACCGAACGGGGCAGTGCTCTGTTTTTGTGATACGTCTAAACATACTACTGAAAGCACAAGCTTAAGAAATCAGTGTTTTGTAAAAAGTTTGCATGATTTCATATTTTCCTCTATGAAGTGGAAAGGAGACTCAAAGGCATAATCCCTTCCAATTTTTTGAGCACTGCTGTTTCTCCTTAATTTGTGTCTGAGAGTCTTACGCATAGGTTAGCTCCCCGTAAAGTCAATTTTGGCTGAGTTATCCCTGCTTCAACGTTTCCAGTTACTTTTTATGGCTTTTAGAGGCATGTGCTTAATGTTCTTGCATTAAAGTATTTCAGGGGGACACTTTAAGATGCCAGACTTGGGCTTAATTCGCTCAGCATTTGAAGTATCTATCAAAGATACGGTGTTCAGCTAGGATCTAATAAAGAGTTGCATTTTTAACATACGTGTCCTGCCTGGGAAAAATCAGCGAAGGGACAAGATTCCATTCTACAACTCAACTTAAAATAAGACCTCAGTACCCAAAAATCAGTGCATGGTTCTCTCTACCCCCCTGCCCCATACTTTAAGTAAGAAACAGAAAAGCTGTGGCGTGTGCTCCAGAATCTGTTTCACGTGGTTAAGCATACATGAATCCAAGACCGGGGAGGGGGGCAGCCAACAATACCAGAAAATGCAACCTTCTCCCTAATACCCCCACGTTAAGTGTGGCTTCTGGCAGTCAAGAGCTTGTCCATCCCCGCACGAAGGAATCGGAGAAAGACAGCTCATGGCACGTACGTTTGAGAGCGGGAGCAAGGCACCGTGGCTCAGATGCGATGCTGAACTTCTGCTTGATGGGCTTTTGTTGGCTGGTTGGTTGCTTATCCTGGTTGCTTTCGCTGGTGGGCAAGCACGCGGCACATGTCCCAGGAGACCTTTGAGACTGCTAAGTCTATCTTACTGCTCCTGGTTTCTGCATGGGCACCTGCAGATAGAAAGCAGATCCTGGTAAACGGAGAGATCTTGCAGCCTATTTAAACACTTAATTTTCCCCATGTGGTGGTAATGTTTGGAAGAATGATATCCATCCGTTGGGCTGCTGAAATAAAAACAGACCAAAAACGAATACTTGCCTCCAATGCCACATAAGTGCCAGAAAAGGTGTGATTTAATCTTAAATTTACTCTTTAAAGCTGCAATCAGAAACACGTGTCTTTTTAACATTACCCCCAGACCCCCAAGCAAGCTACATTGTAATGAGAATCACCTGAGTATCTTGCACACTTTTCTACAGGAACCGTTTTCCTTGCTTAGTTTCCCTGGAGAGGCAATTGGGGAAAGTTCATCTGATCTATGCATTGTGCAGATAGTTATTCGGTGGCTTAATCTTGAGCACAGTCCCTGTCCTAGACAGACAACATCAGCATTTGCATCCTCTCTTTTTTGCTTGGGTCTCTTCCCATCGTCTTCGAGACTTCCCTGCTCCCAGCGTTTGGAGTAGGGGCTCCCTAAAGAAGGCAATTGCTTGCCCCCGACTTTCTCCACGGGAGTCCCAGACCTGTGGATGCTGGCTGGCTCCAGCAAGGCTTGTGGACAGGCGGCCCTGGTCAGTTGCGGTGCTGAAGGGTCCAGCTCCTTGGAGTGGCTTTTGGATGGAGGCGAGGGCCATTTCAGCCATGAGAGAGGACAGCAAAAGCCATCATTCCGTGTGACTCTGAAAGGCCGTCCTGGGGCAGGAGGGATGAGCGGAGACGCAAGAGCCTTTTCTTCCTGGGGGCTGCGCCCTGGGGCGTCCCGAAAAGGTGCGTGTCCACAGCTTTGCTTGGTTGTCATTTGTTGGCTAACCAGATTTTGAAGCCTCCCTCCTGCAAGATCAGGCTGTATTTCTATTATTTTTTAAAAGAAGACACCTTCCCTACCTATCAAGTTTACTTGAGTGTCTTCATGGGGGAAAACCGTAGAGCTGGCTGCATTATGTCCCTGGAAATGATTCTGGGGATGCAGTTAAAAAGCTGCTGTTGCTCTTGAGCGAAACTGGCGCTGCACATTTTCAAGCCTACGAGGTAAAAATTCTTGTTTATCTTCGCTTGCGGAGAAAAGGGCGTTTGGCGCCAGAGGAGCAGGAAGACATCGTTGCTTTTCCATAACAATCACGGAAACCCCGTAACCTTCCCCTGAACTGCTCAGACTGGTTCCTTTCATCCTCCTCAAGTGCAAGCTTTATAACGTTGAAGCCACAAGTACTACCTGAACTGTGCGTTATTTGAAGAAGTTCAAGAAGGCAACGTGGGGTAGATACAGCGAGTTACAGATATTTTTGTTTTGTCCTGATAAATCATGCCACCCTCCCTTCTGCTGAGCATCTGGAAAGAAGTTGTACTAGAGGGTTAATTAACTCACTTTTAATACTTACGGAAGTAATATCCCAGCATGAAATGCAAACCAGGATTGGTCTGTTGATAGACCATTGTTGACTGGGTAACTTCCTTAGTCAACTATGGGAATGCTGTAGACTTAATAAAGCACCTGATAAAGTATTCCACAATGCTCTGGTGAGCAAGCTGGCTGACGGGGTTGCACGGAGACGTAAATGGCTCCAGAAAACATACTCGGGCTGCTCATCGGTGGCTCCTTGTCAGACTGGAAAAAGGTATGGAGTGGGTTTCCCCAAGGATCAGCCCCATGTCCTTTATGCTTCAATATTTTTTATAGGAAGGCTTCAGTGAAGAGGCCTACCAGATTTACAGATAACTCAAAACTGGGTGGGATGGCTAATACTCCCTCAGGCAGAAATGAAATTTGAAATGATCTTGGTAGAGAAATGAGGTGGATGTAACAGAATGAATTTAGCCGAGATGCGTGTAAAGTTCTTTAGTTAGAATGCCAAAATTAAATGCACAGGTATAGGATAGGAAATTCCTGGTCTGGCAACAGTCCTTGTGAAAAAGGCCTTAGAACAGAACTCGATGGCAAAGTGTTGGCCAGCTACATGGTGTGGCTGAAAAAAGGCACGTGCAATTTTAGGCTGCATGAGCAGAAGCATAATTTCCAAATCCCAGGAAGTAATCATTCCATTTCACCCTGCTTTAGTCAGAGGCCCCACCTCTAGGTCCACCTCCAGTTCTAGACACGATGCTTTAAGAAGAATTAGACAAATTGGAACAGGTTTGGAGGAAGGCGGTGAGGGCGAAGCCCTGTGAAGGGCAATGGAAGCAGCTGAGCAGGCCTTGAGGAGAGGGAGGGTGACATGACAGCCTTCCTCCAACACCTGAAAGGTGTCACCTGGAAGGAGAAGGTCAAGATCTGTTCTTTTGCTCTCTTGAGTGCGGGACACAGAAATACAATTCGGTTACCGAAAGCAGAATCTGACCAAATACCAACCGGCGATCCCGAGAAGATGCTTTGAATGTGTTCGAGCAGCAGCTACTTCGGCATTTGGGGGGAATGCTAATTTGGATCCCCGCACGGAGCAGGGGTTGGAGTTAGTGGCTTCAGCAGCTCTGAGATGTGGTTGTGAGGTCAGGCTGTGATTCCGAGTGTCTTTGAGCAGGGGATAATTACGGGTGGGGTGCAGAGCTAGCCCCACAGTAGCTCTTGTTTAATGCACGTGATCCCTGAATCTCATGCCAACTGGCAAATCAGTAGCTCTGTTTTGCATGATTGCAGCTTCCGCGAGGGCAACCCCATGTAGGGCGTGTTACAGTATTAAGGTGTGAGTATCTCCTCCAGTAGGCTTTTATTACTTCATCTTATCCAAACATCCAAACAGTTAAGACGACGCATCTCCTCTTGTTTATGCAGAGGCTGCTTCAGCAGATTGTAATAGACGCTAATTGTCATGCAGCTTTATTTAAATAAATGTGCTTTGCATGGGTTCTTTCCAAAGCGTGTGTTTTGGAAACGACAATATTTTAAATTATCAGCTCCCTTAAAAAGCCATACATTGCTGGTTCCCATGCATCTTAGGTTATTCGCTAGGACTGAGTGCTTGTTTTTGGCTAATCATGGTCTAGTTTAATAATTTTTTAGTGTAATTAAGGATTTCCAGATTAACTGCTCAAGAAACTGTCCTATGTGCTATGTTTATTGAAAAGTCGGATCTCAATATTTGAGATTTATTCCTCAATATATTCCTTTGCAAATATCAATGGAGTGTGGATTTGGATTTTAAAAAGGCTACTGAGAGTGTCTCTCTCATCAGACAAAGTTGGAGACAGACTTCTAGGGATGAGTAGCCGGTTGCAGAGTGACTGAACTAAAGGCGCTCAACGTCTCCAAACTGCTAGAAAGCAGCTCGCTGCAAGGGCACGTGGGGAAAATCAGAACTTCGCCCGTGTGATGAAGCTGGCGGGCTTGGCTCTCCTTCCCCTTCCCTCTTCTGATGGGAATGACGACTGGTCGCTTTTATTCCCTCCAACCCAGTGGGTCCCTGGAAAGAAATGACATAAGGGAGGGTGGAACTTTGGTCTTGGTTGGCTGGTTTCTAGGACCCTTCTCAGAAAACAGAACCAGGCTGCTTTTAGCGTGGGGAGAGAAACCAGCAAAAGGAAAATCTGGTTCAAAAACAGAGCCAGATCTGGCTGGGGCTGCAAGCAAAGACATTCCTGAAGCACCCCCCCCATGGGAGGGGCTGGGGTCGGGCAGCGGCTCAGAGTGCTGCCAGCTGCTCCGTGCAAAGCCCCCCCTTGCGGGCAGGAGACCTGGGCAGAGGTCATGGCCAGGGGACGGGAAGCAGCCCCCGGAGCTGTGCTCCGCCAGTTCCCTGCCCTCTTGTTGCCAAGAAATTGCTGCACGGGGGCCGAAGGAGGAAGTGGGGATTCCACTACGGGATGTAAATGAGATCCGCCCCACTCATTTCTCACCACCTCTTGTTGGGGTGGCCTCTGGATCTCTTGCAGGCTCCCATCTCAATCCAATTCACCTCAGCTGATCTCTGCCCTGGATGATCCAGCTGAGAAAAGGAGAAGCACGCTGGGTGTGTGTGTGTGTGTCTTCGTTCATGTTTCCGCTTGTATGTCTGGAGGGCAGCCAAACACCAGCATGAAGCTGCTTCCAGATTTCTCCAGCTGATATTTTGCCCCTCCAGATCTTAACCTCAGCTATGTTTATCAACAGGAAGAGGAGGAAGTGAGGAAAGAAATTCAGCTGTGCTGATAAACTGAGTTTTGAACTGCATGAAGGAAAATGTTCAAGAGAAGGAGAACCAGCACAAACCTGCTGTTGGCTGAATAGCAGGTGACCCCATTTGCTGGTGTGCCCACGCAGACCCCTGAAAGCGTGGAAAGGACCAAGCACCTCATCCCACCAGAACAAATCACCTGCTTTACACACACACACCCAAACACACACACACACTCACAGCAGGCTTGCATATAAAAAGAGAGTTTTATTGCAGTCAGGTCGCCTGCAGCTGTTCTGGTTGAGTCTCTCTCCATTTAAGCAAGTAAAAATCCTGTTTTCTGTATGGACAGGATCGCTTTCGGCTAGACCAGGCCTATGAGCCATCTGGTCCTGGTTTTTTTTGTGTGTGGGGGGGTGGCAGCTGCTTTCAGGGAGCACATGACCCCGGCAGGGGGTCTTTCTGCTCCAAGCAGCGCCCACAATTTCAGAAGCTGCCAGCTGCCCTCAAGGCTGCCTTGTCATTGGGACCCCAACCCTCCACAAATGGGCCCAGTTCCCCTTATAAATCAGCCTGACAGCATCCAACTCACCCCTGAATTGTGCAGGGTGCTTTTCTGGATGACCCCCAAGCGCTAACGTTGTGAGGAGGTCTGCATGGATTTTCCCCAGTATGCAAAATTAAATGGATCTGCATCGTGTCTCCCCTTCTCTGCCCACCTTCTGATCTGCCTCCCTGCTCCTTCCCCGCAAATGCCATTTTCTTCCGGAGGGAAGAGACAAAACTGGCCCCCGGTGCTTCCTACAGGACCTGGCACATGGGGGCGGGGCGGGGGGGGGTGGAGAACTGCTAGGCTGACTTTTGAGAAGGAAATCAGGAAAAGAGTGAAGCCTGTTTTAAAAGGTGAAGTTTAATTGTCCATGGAGTTTTCCCAGCTAACAAACACCGTGAAGGGGATACTAACTTTGTACTCCAGTTGGGGCTACCAGTCCAGCTTCCTACAGCCCTAATTCAGGAAAGGTAAGTTTCAGAGCACAGCACCCAAAATGCCACTGAGTTTAGTCATGCCATGACTCTTAAAAGGCGCATTCCTGGACATTTTTCAGCCATGGACCACAAGCAGAGAGCAGTGCAGGTAAAATACCGCCAAAGGTCATGGCAACAACAGCAATGAAAGGTTTGAAAAGAGAGGCTCAGAATAGAAGGGGAGTCCCCGAAAGGCTTTTGCACAGG